TTTTTTTTTTGAGACAGCGTCTCAAGCTATCGCCCTGGATAGAGTGATGTGACATCATAGCTCACAGCAACCTCAAACTCCTGGGCTTAAGGAATTCTCTTGCCTCAGCCTCCCAAGTAGCTGCAACTACAAGCACTCACCACGACACCCCGGCTACTTTTCTTTGTTGCAGTTGTCATTGTTGTTTTAGCTAGCCCAGGCCGGGTTTGAACCTGCCAGCCTTGGTGTATGTGGCTGGCACCCTCCCCAATGAGTTATGGGCACCCCTGAGAGATGCATTTTTTTCTTTCTTCTTTTTTTTTTTTTTTAAAAGACGACAGAGTCTCACTTTATCGCCCTTGGTAGAGTACTGTGGCATCACAGCTCACAGCAACCTCCAGCTCTTGGGTTTAGGCGATTCTCTTGCCTCAGCCTCCTGAGTAGCTGGGACTATAGGCGTGTGCCACAACACCCAGCTATTTTTTGTTGCAGTTTGGTCAGGGCCAGGTTCAAACCTACCACCCTCAGTAGATGAGGCCAGCACCCTACAGAATGAGCCACAGGCACTGCCTGAGAGATGGCATTCTTAAAAAGGAACAGCTGTTAAGTAAAAAGCAATTTCCACAAGTCATGATGGTCCTGTGTGGAGTCAGCTCGTGAATCTGTGAGACCTGAAGATTGACAGCGTCTTTGTACCCCAGAGGCTGCGCTGGGGGGCTCTGCAACTGTCATCATGCCACAAAATGAATTTATTGAATTACACCATAAAGGCTATGGATATCGCTTGGATTACCATGAGAAAAAGAGAAAAAAAGAAAGTCAAGAGGCTCATGAACGGTCAAAGAAGGCAAAGATGACTGGTCTGAAGGCTAAGCTCTACCATAAACAGCACCATGCTGACAAAATACAAATGAAAAAGACTATCAAGATGCATGAAAAGAGAAACACCAAACAAAAGAATGATGAAAGGACTCCATAGGGTGCAGTACTTGCCTATCTGTTGGACAGAGAGGGACAGTCCCCAGCCAAAGCACTCTCCAATATGATTAAACAAAAATGGAAAGAGAAAGCGGGTAAATGGGAAGTCCCTCTGCCCAAAGTTCATGCCCAGGGAGAAACAGAAGTATTAAAAGTTATTCAAACAGTAAAGAGAAAAGAAGAAGGCATGGAAGAGGATAGTTACTAAAGTCTGCTTTGTTGGAGATGGCTTTACGAGAAAACCACCTAAATATGAAAGATTCATCAGGTCAATGGGCTTGCGTTTCAAGAAGGCCCATGTAACACATCCTGAACCGAAAGCCACATTTGCCTGCCAATACTTGGTGTAAAGAAGAATCCCTCATCCCCATTATATACAACTTTGGGTGTTATTACCAAAGGGACTGTCACTGAGGTCAATGTGAGCGAGCTGGGCCTTGTGACACAAGGGGGCAAGGTTATTTGGGGGAATTATGCCCAGGTTACCAACAATCCTGAAAATGATGGATGCATAAATGCAGTCTTACTGGTTTGATAACCATTTCACACAAGTAACTTAGACAACAATTGAGAAAACCAGTATTACTGTGATGTTTCTGAATGCTACCAAACCAAACAGCCTTATAGCCTTACATGCCTGCATTCATTAAGAGAACTATTTATTAAATTGTACAAAACATTAAAGTGGTCCAGTTTTACAAGTTGGTCTTATTTTGGGATCCAAGTAAACTCCATGTTCGTGAAACTGAATGACTGAAAAAGCAAATATACAACTGTCGTACCTCATCAGTATCTGCATCAATGAATGGGTATTCAGCAATGCAGATCTGTTATTTCTGGAAAACATAGCAGTATAAATGAAAATACCTTTTAAGGCTCGGGGCCTGTGGCTCAAGCAGCTAAGGCATCAACCACATATACCTGAGCTGATGGGTTCAAATCCAGCCTGGGCCCACCAAACAATGACAGCTGCAACCAAAACATAGCCGGGCATTGTGGCAGGGGCCTGTGGTCCCGGCTAATTGGGAGGTGGAGGCAGGAGACTCGCTTGAGCCCAGGAGTTGGAGATTGCTATGAGCTGTGATGCCACAGCACTCTATCCAGGGG